TCTCTTTCCCGCGTCAGAAACCCTACAGGAAGCACTCCCTGTCTATGCCACCATGCAGCATCTCATCATAACAAGACTGTGACTGTTTATTTTCAGATGAGTGTGCTTTAATTCCATAATCAGTACGGCTGCTCCTGAGGACAGGCATCAGACAAAGAACAGAGTCGCTCACCACGGATGACTGAGAAAAGAACTCCACACCATAAGGTTAAAAACAGTGCTTTTCTAATTCTATCCTAGAAGCAAAAAAGCAACAATGGAACTTGCTCACAATTAAAATTCTTTTTAAAGAGACTGACAGTTCTCAACATAAACTGAAAACTACTATTTATTAAGTCGGACACATGGAAACTTTCAAAGACAACCTTGGAAGCAAAACAGTTACCTTCTTGTCAGGTTTTGGTGCATTTTGAATAGAATTTAGAGCTTGCCTTTTATATTCAAGTTTCTCGTTTAGTTCTCGAAGTTTGTTTACAGCAAAACTGGCTTGTTCATTAATCCGACTGGGACCTTCATCCACAGCTTCTTCACCAGTCTCACATCCTGAGCCCTGGAGGAGGGGGAGAGGGAGCATGCCATCTTATTTTAACAGAAAATTCAGTAATCATTACCTATTATATAAATTCTATATCATTACATTATTCCAAAGTATTAGATTCTAGTAGGAAAAGAATATAAGCGGTCTTCACAAAGTTCATGGCATATTATGAAAAAAAAAAAAAAAAAGAAAAAGAAAAAAACAACCTGTGCATGGACTTCAAAATATTCTTACACCAGGAACCAGCAGTTAGCGTAATGGCTATGTCGTTGGACTCCCACGTAGTTGACCACGGTTTGTGTCCTGGAACTGATGGCTTAAAACTCATGCCAGGCACGTGTGTGTGCATGCCCAAGATCCCGAGAGGAGAATGGAGGAGAAGGGATTGCAGCGTGACCATCCCCCCTGGAGGGTGATTTCTCACTTTCTGTCTCTCTCTGTCTGGCGAGCACATGCGCCCTATAGCAAAAAACCTCTCCAAAAAAAAAAAAAAAAAATCCAAATGGAAAAAAAAAATTTTTACACCAAAATAAACTCGTTTTCCACCAGCTTTTTGAAATTCCTTTGTACTACAGTAGAAAGCTTAGAACAGACTACTTTTCTCAATAAAAAGAAAAATCAAAGAATTTATAAACAAAGTAATTGGCATTCAGAACTACAGAATTACTGCAAGAAAGAAAGAAAAAAAAGAAACATTTAACTGTCTAAACAAAGTGGGAGATACCCCATGCCATATTTTCCAAATGGTACACTGGAGGGAATCTGCATGAAACAAGGGATGAAACTGAGTTATCCTACCAACTCAGCCTGGATATTCTGTATCTAAACTTTGGCAATGACACTGAAACTTGGTTTCCTTCCAGTGTCCTAAGATCAGTCAAAATTCACACAAGTGTCCTACACAGTCCCTAACCTCTTTAGCACCAGGGACTGGCTTTGTGGAAGACACTACCCCGGATGGAATGGAGGAATGGTTTATGAGCTTGCAACCTAGATCCTTCACATGTGCGTTCATGATAGGATTTATTGCCACTGCTGATCTGACAGGAGGTGGAGCTCAGGCAGTGATTCCAGAGCTGGGGAGCAGCTGTAAATCCAGATGAAGCATTGCTCCCTGCCCACAGCTCACCTCCTGCTGTGCTTTTTTTGCTATCTCAGATGTACTAAAATCAATTCCATTGTACATAACACTTTTCTACATTTTTAAAGTTGATTTATTATTATTTATTTATTTATTCATGTTGCAACAGGGCATGTATGCTGACTGGGGAATGAGAGAAAGTGAGAAATCACCATCCAGGGGGATGGCCAGGAGCAATTCTTTGCCCATTCTCCTCTCAGGATATTGGGCTCACACGCACACACGCCTGGCATGTTCTTTAAGCCACAGGGTCCAGGATTCAAACTGCAAAGTCAGCCATATGGGATCTATTTAGCGCCCTTAACCACCATGCTACCTGTTGGCCCAATATTTTTCTACATTTGAATGGTTTTCTTGGCATAAATTTCCAGAAGTTTCTATCTCTAGGGATCCCTGGAACAGAAAGTAGGTGCTCTCACAAGGTAATACACATGAGGGGACCTCTAAAAGTTCATAGAAAAATGCAATTAAATAGAAGTTTATTTTAGTGCAATAGTTTTAAATTCATGCACAAGTTTTTATTTTTTGAAATTTGCTGGAGGGTGCATGCACTAACTGGAGAAAGAAAAGGGAAATAAGAAAGCATACTCATGAGAGATGATCATGCCACAATCCTTTCTCCATTTCTCCTTTCAGGATATTGGACATACACACACACGCACACACCCGGCATGTTTTTCAAGCTGGCAGGTCCAGAACGCAAATGGGGCTGCTGGCCATATGGGATCCAGCCTCCTTTACCACCACGCCACCAGTTGGCCCATGTTTTCACAGTACACCCTTGAAATGTGTTTTTCAAAGACCCCTTGTAGTACTCTTCTTTGACTCCTAGGTGGATACTTTTTCGTGTTTGTTTACTACTACCTCTCCCATTAACTTGTTAGTACAAGTTCTTATTCAATGTCTCTACTGAGTAAAACAATTTTATTCATTTGAATAACTTCTTTTACAGCATTTGCTGCAATATTAACCATTTTAACTTTTGAAGCAGAGAGAGAATGTAGCTAAAACAAACTTGTGACCTATCTTAGAAACAAAATGCAGTGAGCCATGCGTTTTAGATCCATCAGTTAGGGATTTTATATGTAAAGGACCAAGTAACAAAACTTCAGGAAAAACTCTTAAGTGAAGATCATACATTTTAACCAAGGTTCAGAGACCTCATGCTGACTTCTAATACCATTAAGAGCAAGTGCTTAATTCCTCAGGGCTGGAGACACAATGAACTGGCAGAAAGAAAAAATTCCAAGAAAAATTATGATCTTTCCATATGAAGTGACCATAAAACACTTAGTTTTTCTTTGTACTGGCATGAAATCTTAAAAATCATGTAATCGCCAATAGGAAAATGAGAGATCCAACTGGAGCTATCCAAAATGAGTATACTCCAAGAAAATGAGACTTGGGACGAGTGCAGGGCTTAGTGGTTATCTTGCTGGACTCTCATGCAGTCGAACGCAGTTCGAGTCCCAGACCCAGCAGCTTGAAACTCACAGTGGGCGAGTGTGCGGGCATACCCAAAATCCCAAGAGGAGAATGGAGGAGAAGGACTGCGGTATGGCCATCGTGATTTCTCGCTTTCTGTCTCCGTCTCTCCAGTGAGCACGTGTACCCTATAACAAATATCTTAAAAAAAAAAAAAAACAGAAAATTAGACTTAAGGTATGGCTTAGCAAGATTCCTTTGGAAGATTTTAACCTTGTCTGACTTTTTTAAAACTCCAAAATATTTCCTATAACTCCTGCCCTATTCCCTCACTTTCTCATTTCTACCTCATCTCTTAATCTATTCTGGGACTGGACTTTAGTCCCACAGATTCTCTTATTAAATCTAAACCACAAACGTCCGACCCCATAGACTTCTTTGCCTTCACTTTTCAGGAGTCAAACAAGGGATATGTTTAAGGGAGACAGAGGGCAGGGAGGTCTGTGACTCAGAGCTGAAAGATGAAAGCAAGTTAGTCAGAAGGACAACCAAAGGGAAGAAAGAAGAGCATGAAACCAGAAACTACAGGTAACTCAAGTAACAGGGCATTTAAGTTTCACCTTTTATTCTACTTAAATTCCAGTATATTAAAGATTGGAAATGTGCATTAAATTTGGCTCATACAAGGCCAGCAGGTGCTGTGGAGGTTAAGACTCTGAATCCCACATGGCTGACTGTGTGGTTCGAATCCTGGACCTTGCAGTTTGAAAATCATGCCAGGCATGTGTGTATACATGCCCAAAATCCTGAGAGGAGAATGGAGGAGATGGGACTGCAGTGTGGCCATCTACCCTGGGGGCTGATTTCTCACTTTTCCTCTCTCTCTTGCTTAGTGCATGCACTCTATGGCAAAAACCTAGGTTAAAAAATAAAATTAAAATTAAAAAAAAGCTCATATACCTAATCATATTTCAATGTTATCCACTGAAAAGGGAGCAGAATATGAACTACTACTCACCACTTCCTCCTTGTTGGAAATCAACTGTGAGACATGTTTTTCTTCCTCTTTCATCATCAGTTTCTCATACAGGTCACTGACAATAAATGAAGGGTAATACCTATCCTTGAGGGTCTCATAAACGTCTCCCTGGATTTTGCAGAACACCTCAATACCTTTATTTCCTACGAGGCACTGCTGGACTTCTTTATAAAGTGATTTTTCCACAGATATTTCTTTGCTCTCCACAAAGAAATTCTGATAGATTTCACCAACTAATTGTGGAATTTCATTCTGAAAAATAGGAAGATGAGAAACAAGAAAAATAAGAAATATCATCTCTGAGAGACATTATTTTTTTCTGAGTTCTCTGCATCTAAAAAATACAAAAAACACATTGAGGATGTATTCTGATATTGACACCACTGTGGGGCTTGGGTTTTTGTGGCAACATTCAGGGCCAAGGGGTAAATGTTAGACCCTGAAAAAAACTACTAGTTCCTTAAAATGAACACTTCATGTTGAACAGTCAACATCTGCAAATTTTTTTTAACATGAAAAGGAAGAAAAGGATTATGACAGTTCTTTTCCTGTAATGGATTTTTTTTCCCCCATAAATCTCAATACCTCTGGGATACAATTTATCAACTAAAATCAGTTTGACTTTTAATCTAATTTAAATAATTGAAAGTGCCATTCCTCATCCCAGGAAGTTAATATAATGACTGTGTAATTTAAAAAAAAAAAAAAGATAAATATTCCTCTTGAAGACTACTTCAGAATGATTACATTGGAACCTAACTTATATTGGACAGCCTAGTCTTAGGAAGTATACTTGAGTCACCATTGGTCTACTTTTAAAATTCAACCATCTGAGTAACATAATCTTCCCATTTCCTCTAGAGGCATTTCATTAACCTCAAGAATCTTACACAAAATTTTCAAACCTGGTAAAAAACAAAGATATAAACTTAATGAATGTGGCTAATTTAAAAAACACCCCAGAAATTTTACATCCAAATCAGTGTTGCTAGGCCAAAATACGGCTATTTTGAGGTAGCTATATGTTCTTACTCCGTTGAAATTTTTCAAATTGCCTTCAGTAGTTTAGGAATACTTTTTAAGTTGCTCTTTATGAAATTCTTTTGAGAACTGCCAAAAGTCATTTGGAGTCAAGCCTGGTGATTAAAATGAATAATAATGTTGACAATTACAATATTGGGTAAAATGAGGTAATTTGTGGCTTGTAAATTAATAATGAAAGGCATGCCTAAGAAGATGATTTAAAAATACTACAAGACTAGATTTAATTCTTTGACCAGTGTAATTTTTTATTTAAGATGTATTTTAAGTTGTATTCTATTCTAGCAACATTCATATGCAAGTAACTCAATGCACAAAGTACTTTTTGTGTTTATTTTAATAAACCTCAAAATATTATATATTGATGTGATATATGTCATGTCTATACTATATAGTTATGTGTTTATAGACATATACATATGTATATACATACAGAATGTGAAGAATATATGTATATTCATTCTAAATACATATTGAGAACTGCCAAGTGCAAAGCAAAAGGTTTATAGTTGAATTCTTCATTGTAAGAGGCATATGTGACCAGAAGTATTTTCTATGCTCCTTTATTTGATACTTCAAATTAAAATACAAGAAGAGCTGTTAAAAAAAAAAAAAGGCATATTATGTATAACAAATGGCAAGATTATGAGACTGAGGTACAGTTAATAAGAGCAAATTCATAGCAGTGGCAATGTGGATATGTGTATTTTTTTTAATGTGCTGAAAATTAGCTACCTGAAACTAAATTCAGTCTCTTAGGATATTTATAGATCTTGTTTCTCCTTGAGTATGCATTCGAAAGTAGTTTCTGTAAAAATATAATGTAATTTTACTTGACATTATGGGCCAGAACATAATGCCAATATTATCTTTGGCTTAGAACATTCTTTTAACATATGCTTGTCTTACAGCTTCACTGAGAAAAACAGATACACTGCCTTCCATGCAAGTTTCATCAGTTAATTAAGATTCCTTTGAGCCTGTATACACTACCTTGTTTGCACTCTTTAAATGTTCCACAGACTCCCAAAAACTAATCAGAACTCTCTTGTCCATCCTTTCCATGTAAGTTTGAAAGTGCTCTCGGTAGGAAGTATTGGCCAAGATATCGTCAAATTGAAGAATCTATTAAGAAAATATAAGAACAAGTTTTAAAAATCAAATTAAGTATCAGTTTGCTTTAACTTGTAAAAATGAATTTCTATATTCAGGGTGGAAAATGCATTTTTAAAAATAATTATTTAATTTTATTTATTCATTCATTTATGTTTTAATTTGATCAGAGAGAGATACAGAGAGAGAGAGGGAAAGTGAGAAAGCAAAGCCACCAGGTCCGGTATTTGAAACACAGTCAGCCATGTGGGAGTGTCCAGCGCCTTAACCACCATGCCATCTGCTGGTCCCCGGAAAATGTATTTTTTAAGGTCATAACCAATGTGATACAGTATCTTTGAAAGTTAAAATACCTAATCTATCACTTTTCTAAATTTTAAATGTAATAAAGCATAATGAATATACAAAATGCACATATTCAAAAAATACCACTTTCCCAGTAATCATTCATTCAATTAACAAAGATTTACTTGGCATCTAGGTGGTAACAGGAATAGTTCTAGAAAATAAAACAGATAAAAATCTCTTAGGGTCAGATGGTGGTTCAGAGGTGATACAACCGGACACACATGGGGAAAGTTCTGGGCTTGCCTCCCTGGACACCTTCTGGGTGTACTGGACAGGTTTTTGCCAAGCAAGCTGAAACTGTGAGGAGCTCCAGTTGGGGAATTCCTGTCTCTCTGCCCCTCTTTCTCGGAATGAATGAATGAATAAGTAATCTTTTCTAAAAGACTAAAAGAGCAAAAGTTAAAAAAATAAAACTTGACTTTTCAGATGTATTGATTCCATACATACTAGGAATTATTACGTCTTTTTTTTTTTTTTTTTTTGCTATAGGGCGCGTGTGCTCGCCAGACAGACAGAGAGAGACAGAGAGATAGAAAGCGAGAAATCACCTCCCAGGGGAGATGGCCATGCCGCAATCCCTTCTCCTCCATTCTCTTCTCGGAATCTTGGGCACGCACGCACACACGCCCAACGTGAGTTTAAGCCACCGGGTCCGGGACTCGAACCACAGTCGACTATGTGGGAGTCCAGCGACATAGCCATTACAATAACTGCTTGTCCCAGGGATTATGATGTCTTCTGGACGCATCAGTAGCTTTGTCATATTGAAATGTTCATCTCTAGTTATATCCCTGTTCTGAAGTCTACTCTGAAATTAGTATCAGCAACGCTAGATTTCTTATGCTTGGTGTATACATGGCATGTCTTTCCCCCCTACTTTCAACCAATCTACACCTTTACATTTACTTTATTGTAAACAGCATGTAATTAAGTCTTGCCTCCCCCTCCCCCTTTCAATTTACCAGTGAAATTAAAAAAAAAAAAAAAAGAGAGAGACATGAGAAAGCATTTCTTTTAGGGCATGGTCACAGGAATCTCTTCTCCTCCATTTCTTCCAACCCTCAGGACTGGGGGGCATGCACACGTACATGCACATGCCCAGGGTGTTTTTCAAGCTGCCTAGTCTAGGATTTGCACTACACAACTACACAGTAAGCCATGTGGGATCCACTTGCCTTAACCACCAGGCCACAGGCTGGCTAAAAATTCATTATGAGGCCACAAGCTGGGGCCAGCAGTGGTGTGGTGGTTACGGTGCTATACTCCCACACGGCTAACCACGGTTTGAGTCCAGGACCTGGCAGCTAGAGAACCATGCCAGGCACATGTGTGTGCCCAGAATCCCAGGAGAAGAATGGAGGAGAAAGGATTTTGCTATGGTTATTCCCCCAGGGTATGATTTTTTGCATTCCCTTTCACTGTCTCTCTCTGACAAGTGCATGTGCCCTATGGCAAAAACCTTACGGGGGGGGGGGGGGAATAAAAGCTAAGAAAACAGAGGAAGTGGGCCAACGCACAACCTGCCCAATCTACTCTCTCTGTTTCTCTCTAAGGTTCACCAAAAAAAGAACTCTGGCCTATGCTGGGGTTGGTCCAAAAATGGGACATAAACTTTTTTGAAGAGACTTTAATGGAGAATATGCTAGGAATAAGTGAAAAGGCAAAGGCTCATCACTGGAACAGGGAGGCTGTTCACAGATAAACATCTGAACTCAAACCCAGAGAATAACAAAGAATACATGACTAAAACTAAGAATGGGGAGGTCAGAGTGTGTAGCCAGAATTGAACTGAATTGATATTGGCTTCTTTGTGGCTAAATGATACCTTACAAAGAAGTATCAGTCTGTTACAGTGTTGCTAAACAGAAACACTTAACTAGGTGATTTACAACAAATAGAAGTTTATTTGGCTCATGATTCCTTTGACTAAAAAGTCCAACAGCATGGGACCAGCTTCTACATCACAGCATGGCAGAGAAAAGAAAGTGAAGCAGGTGCATACAGAGGGAGAGTAAGACCCCTGGGCAACCATCTTGTATAATAATCCACACTCAGGAGAACTAACCCCTTCTCATGAGAGAACTCCCCCCTACTGCAAGACAGAGCATTAATCTATTCATGAGGCAGTGTCCTGATGATCCAAACACTACCCACTAGGCCTTGCTTCTTAAAGGTCTCACCACCTCCCAACGCCATTTCATCGGGAACCAAATTCTAAAACACAAACTTCTGCAGGCCAAAGCATGATCTTAACTGTAAAAGGAGTTTGGCATTTGCTTTGAAGCCGTGTCCCCAGGAGGTACAGCCAAGCTCCTCAGGGGGTATTGGAGCTGTTTCCTTCAATCCTATTATGCTCCAGGTCTTAGAAATCAAACTTCATCCTTAAGAATTATGACAGGTCACAGGGTTAGCAGATGGTACAGCAGTCACAACGCTGAACTCTCACATGGCCAACTGCGGTTCGAGTCTGGACCAAGTGGCTTGAAAATCACGCCGGGTATATGCGCATGTATGTGTGCGTGCCCAAGATCCCAAGAGAAGAATGAAGGAGAAGGGACTGTGGCATGACCACCCCCCATGAGGGGGAGGTGATTTCTCACTTTCCCTCTCACGGTCTTTGTCTCTCGGTCCTGCAAGCGCATGTGCCCTATGGCCAAACTCTCTTAAAGAAAAAAAAAAAAATTATGATAGCTCCTAAAGTAGGACTCGAACACTTTCCTAAACTCTGTGATTTAAGTACTTGCTATCAACAGACAGTCAAAAGGTTCAATGTACAAAAACAGTCATCCTCATCATATTATGGTTTAGGAAGAAAGTACTCAGATTTGTGAACCAACCAGATCTGGGCTTTTATCTATTGGGTTGTCAGACAGTCATGACATATTTTTGCATATAAAGACACAGACATGGGAACCAGCAGTTAGTGTAATGGCTATGTCGCTGGACTCCCACGTAGTTGACCGCGGTTTGTGTCCCGGACCCGGTGGCTTAAAACTCAACGCTGGGCGTGTGTGCGTGCATGCCCAAGATCCTGAGAGGAGAATGGAGGAGAAGGGATTGCAGCGTGACCATCCCCCCTGGGGGGTGATTTCTCGCTGTCTCTATGTCTCTCTTTGTCTGTCTGGCTAGTGCATGTGCCTATAGCAAAAACCTCTCAAAAAAAAACACAGACAAACATGTCATGACTTTCCCAACAACCCAATAGTTCTGCCTCTTCCTATCCATGTGGCTTAAATCCACGAGTTACTTAAATCCACCATTTGATCACTTGAGAAATAGAGATAATCAAATAACTACTTTGTAACATTGTGGCAAGAGTTAAGTAAAATAACTTAAGATGTGTTCTACTTAATAGATGATTAATTCTATCCAACTGAAAATAGTGATTTGATTAGATCCTTATGAACATAAATATGCTCTTCTAGAAAGAGGGGAGGAGGAGAGATGGAAAAATACACAGACATACACTCACACACACACGCCCCTACCTGTCATATTTATTACCATTCACAGAAGTCAAGGACACCAACTAATACAGCTCTTCAGCTCCTAAAAGAAAATCTGTGTCTGTAGTCATGGAACATGTGTCTTTTGTTAAGTACTAAAACGTTAAAAGACCGAAGATGTGGGAAGAAACTACGACATTCTACCTTCTGGCTTTGAGGCCCATCACCCTCATCCACAGCCCCGTCCTCGTGCTGATCGTAGGCAGGGCCTCCCAGGGTTCTGATTCTCTTCTCACACTGCTTCTTCGCCACAGTCAGTTGGTTAATGTATCTTTTCATATTCCTGGCTCTCAGGAGATCAGCTTTCATTGCAGCCGTTTCTTTACCTTGAATAGGAATGAGGAACAGCACCCGGTCAAAGTCAAGGTACAAAAGAGGGAATACAACATCTCTGAAGCATACCAGTGTCTAATGTGATACATTTTGAACAACAGTGGATACTAAACAAAACAGAATAAAAGTCACACACAGACTCCCAGATACGAGTACCAGTCATTTCTAAACATAACACTGACGAATAGTTTCAAATAATTATTTAATTTTATTTATTATTATTATCTTTTAATTCAATACAGAGAAGCAGAGAGACAGAGAAAGGGAAAGTGAGAAAGTAAGCCACCAGGTCTGGGACTTATACCACGGTCAGCTATGTGGGAGTCCTGCACTTCAACCACCATGCCACCTGCTGACAAAACTTACTCAAACGTAACATTATTTTTAAAAGCCTTCTGTATATATATATATATACTCATACATGGATGTGTGTATATATTTTAATATTGTTAAATGTATGTACGCCTACTCATTTATAAACAGGTACTGAGGCTTACAATAGGTCATATACTAGGTAGGTTTTTGAGGGCGAAGACCAATTGTTTACCCTGATGGACCTTAGAGTCTGGAAAGAAAGACATCTAAAGACAGCGTAAGCAATTACTATTGTACTATAGGCTATAGAGAAAATGTGCAGGTACCACTGAATTGTTTAAGTGGAGATTCTAACCCAGGCTTCCTTGAGGAAACTAACATTCAAAAACATGAATAATGAGTAGAGTGTAGCAGTCACAGGAAAAATAGCAAATGTGAAAGCGAGACTGTGGAGGCAGGAGAGAGACTAGCACTTTGGAGGAATGGAAAGGCCAGTATAGCAAATTCAGAAGGAGCTGGAGGATCCAAAATGAATCTGAAGTAGGCAAGAGCCAAAAGTTGCAAAGCCCTCTAGGCCACAGAAGGAACTCTGTCTTTAGCCCAAGCCATGCCACCTGCGCTGACAAAACATACTCAAACGTAACTATTTTTATAAGCCTTCTCTATATATATATATATATACTCATACATGGATGTGTGTATATATTTTAATATTGTTAAATGTATGTACGCCTACTCATTTATAAACAGGTACTGAGGCTTACAATAGGTCATATACTAGGTAGGTTTTTGAGGGCGAAGACCAATTGTTTACCCTGATGGACCTTAGAGTCTGGAAAGAAAGACATCTAAAGACAGCGTAAGCAATTACTATTGTACTATAGGCTATAGAGAAAATGTGCAGGTACCACTGAATTGTTTAAGTGGAGATTCTAACCCAGGCTTCCTTGAGGAAACTAACATTCAAAAACATGAATAATGAGTAGAGTGTAGCAGTCACAGGAAAAATAGCAAATGTGAAAGCGAGACTGTGGAGGCAGGAGAGAGACTAGCACTTTGGAGGAATGGAAAGGCCAGTATAGCAAATTCAGAAGGAGCTGGAGGATCCAAAATGAATCTGAAGTAGGCAAAAGCCAAAAGTTGCAAAGCCCTCTAGGCCACAGAAGGAACTCTGTCTTTAGCCCAAGAGTACTGAAAAGGTTTGAATGGGTGTTAAGAAGGAGTACGCCAAAACTGGATTTGTACTGTAAAATATTACACAGGACGCAAGATAGAAAGGTAAAGGGCTGCTGGTAGGAAAACCAGTCGGAAGATCATCAAGGTAAACCTGAGGAGGGAGGCAAGGACGGCCTGAGGGAGGGTCATGGCAGTAGCAACAGAAGAGGACTACAGGATTTCAGTACAACGCAACACATAACTGACTAGACAGGGTGGAGGACAGGTTGCAAAGGAATAAAAGAAAACACAGGTGTCAAATATGACACCTAGGTTTGTGACACGAGCAGCTCTAGAGATGGTGGGGCCAATTACTGGATCAGGGAACAATGGAAGAATAAACAATGTGTGGGAGATCTTAAGTTCAGCTTTGGACAATATGCAAGATGGTATTTTCCACAGTTGGCTGCAGTATCTTCTGTCTCACATGCTCTTTACAATGTCACTCTGACAATTTCCCTCTGAGAAGGATATATTTCTTTTTTTTAAATCTGGATGGACTGGGACCAGCAATTGGCGAAATGACTATGTCACTGGACTCCCATGTAGTCTATCACAGTTCGAGTCCTGGACCCGGTGGCTTAAACTCACGCTGGGTGCATGTGCATATATGTCCAAGATCCCAAAAGGAGAATGGAGGAAAAGGGATCGTGGTGTGGCCACCCCACCTGGGGAGTGATTTCTCGCTTTCTGTCTGTCTCTTTTTGTCCTTCTGGCGAGCACATGCACCCTACAGCAAAAACCTCTCAAAGAA